ATTTAGCTGGGCTATAGGCTCAGGAATATATAACCGATAAGCCCTTTTGGGAGAACAAGGTGCCTGGTGCCTGTATTAAACCCTGATTTGAAGATTTTGAGGCTAAAGATCACACTATATGGTCACTGTATTAAGGTCTTTGACAGCGAAATCACTTCTAAATGGAGGATCGAAGCTATGGCTCTGGATCCCGACGATATAACGGAGGCTATGATGGACTGGATTATCGAGGAGCTTCAATTCAAAGCTAAATTGTATAAAGAGACGGGGCTGACGTACGTCTTTGACGGCGATGTCGTTAAATCCGATTTGAAGATCCCAAAGTTTCTCCAGGAGTCACTGAAGGTAGCCGTGGCCCCCTTAGAAGACGTTCCTGAGGAGGAAAAAGATTACCATCCATATTCGGGCGACCAAGTACTTAACCTGGTGCATCCTTCACTCTTCCCGCTTGTCTACGGGCGGACCCGCATCGTCCAAGACGGAAGCTTTACACCTGATGAAGGAGTAAAACGATCCGGAGAGGGTGAAGTCATTGAATGGCCGGGATACGAACAGCAGGTGCAGGGCTCAACGAATTCATGGAGTACAAAGTTTCAATGGCTCCCGTGCAACATCTCCTTTGTCCCAACGGCTCCTTCAGGCGACCAAAGTGCAGCGAACTTTGGGTCCGAGAGCTTTCGCTGCAAAATCAACAGTTACATTAATAACCTACACCCTGACGACCACGGAGACCTTTATTCTATCCTTGAGGAAATAATCACTCGGACAGTTCCTCTTTGGAATATGACACTTTCAGGGTTAGGAATGAGATTCAACAAACGGATCAATTACAACGATGTTAAATATGACCCGGATCCGGATGATATACCCGAAGAACAATATCCACAGCCAGAAGAAAATGAACCTGATTATTCTTATTGGGCCAGACTTGAGACCTGGAAGCAGGAGATCAGACAAGTGGTGCTTCCAGAGCCCGGGAAATTCATTCCACGACCTGTCTCATCCAAATATACATTTCTGAAAGATTACGGAAAAGCGATCCGTACTCTAGAACAGGACCAAGAGGTTGACTTGTATGAAAGCTTCAAAGCTTCTGGCCTTCAAGTAATTGTTAAACTAGCAAATATCTACTTGACCCCAGAAGATCCAGATTACACGGGAGGCCTGTGGCACGTCGAGGGCCAGTTGGTATGAACCTTTTATCTTTGGGCTTCAATCCTTGGTGCTGACTTCCTCAGAATGAAAGAATATGCGCAACGGCACTATATTATTACGATAGCGAGAACATCACCGATAGCCGTCTCTCGTTCCGGCAAAGCATCTCTGAGGACTTTTCACTGGAGATCGGCTATGAACAATTCCATTTCGAATGGCAGGAGAAAGTATTCGGCCTTGAAGAAGAAGCTCTTGCAGTTCAGGAACTTGGAAGCGTCAGCTGCAAAGAAGGGCGACTCCTCACCTTTCCCAATATCTTCCAGCACCGGGTGGAACCGTTTCATCTGAAGGACCCGACCAAGCCTGGTCATCGCAAAATCGTTGCGCTTTTCCTCGTTGATCCAAACGTTCGCATTACTTCTACCGCAGAAGTACCCGCACAAAGGAAGGATTGGTGGCTCCGACAGGTTCCCTTGGACAATATCCTCACGCGACTTCCACAAGAATTGGGCGACCAAGTACAGAGAGAATTAAGTGGATTCCCGATGACGATGGAGGAGGCGCAGGAACTCCGCCTCGAATTAATGGACGAGCGGGTGGCGTATGCTGATGATGATGAATGGCCAGACACTTTTATTTACTCACTTTGTGAGCACTGAAAAACCTGGAGTGAAGAAATTGCTGGCTGTTGAAAGAGTGAGATTTATGTGCTTGGTTTCGCTTCGATTGAAGCTGATAGTCCAGCTTCAGATGAGCCAAGGAGTTTATATAGCTTAGGTAACCAATATAATGCTCACGTGACAATGAGCTATGATTACATAATCTTATGTGTTCAGACATGTGACTTTTGACCTCACCAAAATGTGAAGCAACTCGTGTTGTATTGCAAGGGAGATTATATGAAGCAGCCTTGTTCACGGGAGCTTCAAAATGCCCAAGAAGCGTCGGACAGCTATAAGGGCAGCTGCCACACCCAAAAGTGAGTTAATGCTATTATTTCCACCCGCAGCAAATACAGTACGCTGATCAATGCTATTAAAATAGAAGAGGCTGCCCCGAAGCATAACCCTGAAGACTCCGATGTAGAAATGCCCGATGCACCTGTGTCTCCATCCAATGCCGAAGCGGACCAAGAAGAGGAGGAAGCTGAACAGGAGGAAGACACAGACGAGCAGATTGCTGGACAAGAACCAGTTGAGCCCACGGACGAAGAAGCAGCTCAAACCCCGGCCCAGGAGCAAGAACAGGATCAGGAACCAGATCGAGAAGATGCTGAAGGCGATGATGAGCAAGAACCCACCGTCCCATCCACGCCCTTACCAGAGTCCGGAGAGCCATCACGTCAAGATACGCCGTCGCGCACTCCCGGACGGATGTCCGCCATACCTCCCGGACCGCGACGACGTCGTCCCGGTCGCCCGCCGAAGAATAGACCTCCGGATTGGGAAGCGCCTGAGCCAAGCGAACCTCGCGATGCGAATGCGCCGCCGCGGAAAAGAGGTCGTGGCCGTCCGTCCGCTGGGGGAAGGTGGGCCAAGTCAAGGGGTGGACCGTCGCATGTTACCCAGGTCCCTGTTGACAAGGAAGGAAATATGATGAATGTGATCAACGACGAAGTAGACTTGCCGGAGGACCCGGAAGGCGAACAAAAAGTGGACAAGCTTGGGAATTTGCTTGGTGGTCGCGAATACCGGGTGCGCACGTTTACGATTCTCGACAGGGGTGAGAGACATTATATGTTGTCGACGGAGCCAGCCCGATGTATTGGGTTCCGAGATTCATATCTGTTCTTCCAGAAACACAAATTGCTGTATAAGATCATCATTGATGATGATGCGAAGCGGAATTTGATTGAGAGAGATATCATTCCACATTCATACAAGGGCCGTGCGATTGGTGTTGTCACGGCGCGCTCGGTGTTTAGAGAATTTGGTGCAAAAATTATCATAGGTGGCCGGAAGGTCATTGATGATTATCATGCACAAGCTGCTCGGGAGCGTGGGGATGTTGAGGGCGAGCTAGCCGTGCCAGAGGATATATTACCTGGGCCTGGCGAGACTTATGATCGTAACCGCTATGTTGCGTGGCACGGAGCAAGCAGTGTTTATCATTCTGGTGCACCATCAGTCCCAATGCCTGCTGGAAAAGTGATGGATGCAAAGAAGAAAAAGGTTGTTGTGACTGGTGATAATTGGATGGTTGAACATGCTAGGGCAAGCAGGTCAGTATTGCTCATCATGTTTGATATGCTCTTGAGACGTGATGTGCTGCGCATATTTGTTTACTGACATGAACTGCTCATGTTTTTAGTGCATTCAATTCTTCCCTTGCCAATTTTCGCCGCGAAGCCTCGAAAGGGGTTTATGATATCCATACCAACCAAATGCTCTATCCAAAAGACATGCAGCCATCGTACATCCGCGTCGAGCGCGTTGCGCACGAAGAAGAGAGCGCGGCGGAGAAATCGAAGCTGATTGACAGCGCGAATAGAGAGCTACAGCGTCTAAAGCTTTCCGCACCCGACTCCCCAGCCATCAACGGCGTCGCCAGTGAAGACAGCACCCATACGGGCGCTAATTCTATCGCGGTTGACGGCGACGAAAACTCCACTCCTGCGCCCAACGCTACCACAGCCGACGCTAAATCCGCATCTACAACCATCTTTCCCCCCGTAGCATCTCGCGTTGCGCGCCACTTTGCAGTTCAGGACGTTTACTACGAGACTCCGGCGTACACGGCCCTCGGCTCTCCGGGACCGAATAGCAGCGGGCATTCCAACGGTCTGATCACTATTGACCCGAACAATGGCAATCCAGTATTCAACATGGATCCGGAGATACTCAAGGAACTCCCGCCAGATTGTCGTGAGGCATATATTGATGCGGCGATGAAGGAGTTTGAGTGGAAGAGGCAGTTTACTCACGTTGGGTCGGATCGGGGATTTACTAGGCCGAGGATGAGCTATGCGTACCATCAATGAAAAAAGCTCAGAAAAAAGGAGTTCTGCGCCTTTCCGTGCATAGGGGATAATGGAGATATTTTTCTTTCTTTCCTTTTTTTTCTCTTTAAGAGAGGAGTTTTTATTAGGCTGGCGAAATTTGGGAAGGGGGATACGCTTTGTGCTGATATGATGGGACATTTGCTGGGCGTCTCTGTGCGGGGCCTTTGTACTCTTTCTTTTGTCCTCTGAGCGACTTTGTCGGATTTTGTAAAACAGAGATATCAACGGTGGAGGCCCAAAGTAGAGCGAAAATGGACTGTAAGATGGCGCATTCTATCACTGTGTCTTGATGTCATTTATTTTGTAACCCCAAGGCCGGGTCAAATGGTGAAAGGGGGAGAACATCGTGCTTCGGGTAGCCCCCTCGATTCGAGTACTACTGAGCAAGCAACCCTTTGTAAAAGAAGACCTTATGTACTCCTATAACTACGCGGGCGCAATCTCCCGGAGAAAAGAATGCTTTGGCATCGTCCTGTGAAACAATTCCCTGAAACCTGTCCATCAATCTCTTCCCTTAACAGCACGGCGTATCAGCTCGCCCCCGCCCGAGGCGGCATTCAATAATGAAGCAACATTTAAAAGAACTGACAATTTCTCTTTCCTTCTCCCGTGACCAGCTTGTATTTTACATTCGAAATATCACTAGAGCGGGGTGTTGATGATCTCAATCAGCCTTAATAGATCTTTGGCACATTTTTTGATCAAATTAATACGGAGATCATAAGTACATGGAACCGGGATGATTGGCATTGATGTTCAAGTACCTTTTTTCTTTTTTTTATTATTTTTGTATGGATTCAGAAGGAGATTATTTTGGAAAAAAAGCAAAGAAAAGCGGAATCAGGAATGGAACGGGAGTATCTTCCAGCGCATCCCCGCCATGGTTCGGAAAACGGTTAAGAACAACCGGGGTGCTGGAGGTTGTTTTTTTCTAGCTTGCTGGTTTGGGTGTCATGCCGAAGGTTTTACCAGAGGGAAACGAGATCCTGCAGAACAGAGTGGCCGGAGATGCAGGGAGGAGGAAATGAGGGGCAGGGAGAGAGGAGAGGAGTTTTCCCCGAAATTCTCACAAACTTGCGCGCTTTGAGCTACCCGCCTTTCTGGGGAAATGCCGCATGTTGCAGGTTGCATCTATTACCGAAAAAATAATAATGAATGGATGTGATGTACCGAGTATCCTGGCGTGATTGCGGCCTTGAGGTGTGCAAATTTAGAAGTATAGATGCCCAACGAGGCATCGGATGCGGAGCATGTGGATTCAAAAGGGCAGAACCGGGAGCAGGGCTCTTGTTTGTTTTGGGGAAGATACATCAGATTGAAAAACGGGTGTGGAGGTGTACTTCGGAGGCTCTCCAGCTCCAGACTGCTTCTAGAAGGGGCAGATGATTGATCATCATGGCTACTCACGACAGGTAAAGGTCTGGGGGTTTCTCCCGTGCTTGTCATGTGGCCGTCAGGGAAGACGCAAAGGCAAGCAGGGGGGCCTTTTTGGTGGTGGCAATGGGCGAGGTATGAGTCTTGACATTTCTTGAGTTTCTCGTGAGCGATGCAGTGTTTCGTCATTCGCAAGAGGGCGTTCGGGAGGTTTCTTGTTCTGTTTGCTTATGGCTGAATGTTCCTGCGCCTGGCCTCGGGTGTGTTGGCCTCCATTTGTCATCTGCTGGCCTCTAGAATTTTTGGGGGGGGAAACACGAAAACAGGCAGCAGTCAAGGAATGATGACGAGGTGTGACGAACAACACGAGACGCACAAAGCTGCTCTGGATGAGGGTTGCCACAAGCACTCTTGAGCTGTTGGAAAAGGCTGGGAGTTGCGGAGACCTGTGTCTCAGCCCTCCAGAGGGTTCTTTGGAACCTGCACTCCGTAATCCGCAAGCGACTGGATGGAGGAGTCAAGAGGCTGAACACCAGTCACCTCCTCCAGACTTACTGGTCAGCGGTGCTTTTCGACACCGCCTTGAATCAACGTCAAACTGTGGCCATGAGGTTGCGAATCCTCGACGTGAAGGGTGGCCTGTGAGGCAACGGGCAAAGTCCGTTGGAATGCGTCGATATTATACATACATCGGACACCATCGGGAGTGACAAGATCGAATTACCTCCGTATTTGTCCCCGAAACGCTCTCTCACAAGCATGATGATATTTTTACTCTGCCCGTCACAAAAAGCCACACCCCTTTTGCCGGGTGGAGATCGTGACTCGAAGGCAGACTGCACAACGAAAATCACTAGGCTCCCTCTCCAAGCGCCCAGTCCAGAAATCCGGCTTGTCTCTGGCGGGCTAGCTTGTCGTTAGCGGACGATAGATTTTCGGACGGACCCCAACGCGGTTGCTACCGGCAACAAACATTTTTGAAATTTTCGAAAGAAAAATCTCTGCTCACAGCGAATTCCATGGCTTGCGATTGGCGAGGGCTGTTGGAAAACTCTCCACTCCCAGTGGATGAAGATTCTGGGTGGTTGGGTTCGTCAAAAGGCCTCTGGTAGGGGTTGAGGGACTATCGTCACTCTGGCAGACGAGAATAGTTCAGAAGGAACATGGGGCCCAGGAGTCATAATATCCGGTGAGCGGTAAACTCGGTCTGCTGCGATTTCCCCCCTTCATCTTAATAATGTTGCCTGAGAAAGTTTCTTCGAGGTGCATGTTGCTTGTGCTTGGATCCCTTCAGGACATGTTGCATCTGATCTATTTTCGCAGTGGAGGATTGTCGGCCCTGGATTGTAGCGGTATTGCGCAATACACAGGCGGTTACGGGAGTGTTTGATGAAGAGTCGTTACAGCCGGTTCGCCTGCAGAACCCAGTTATGTCAGCAGAGGGCGAGACGGCCATTGGTGGGCTCGGCAAATCAAAGGAGACACTGTCATGAAATTACACCACCTGATACAGGCCGCAATTCAAGTCCGTTGTCTGTCAGGTCAGTACGGTACGGTACCGAAATGCAACTTGAGCTTCATGAGAGTTTGGCGCTTTTATATGGAGCGCGAGAAGTTACAGCAACACAGCGATCACAGTGGTGTGGTTGGTTTAATGACTCTCTCCACTCGACCCCGTTGAGTCGCTGCTTGCTGCGAAACCAAAACGGACTTTTTGTGGGAGTGGCGCAGTTGGACCGGTTTTGACTGTGCATCCTCTGCATCAAGATCGCTCCCATCTCCCAGACATGAGGGTGAATTCCGGAGCAAAGGCGGTGTCGGTGTCAATCTGGACCAGGCATGGGGTCAACAGAGCCATTTATTTAGCAAATTGAGTTCTTGCGCAATGGAGCAGAGCGCCAATACCAGAGGATTACCATGTATTTTATTGAACCAATTCACAGTGATAATGGCCCTTTTCAACGCAGATTTGCCCATCTCAGCCGTCTTGTCTCATCAACGGATCGCATGTGCTGAGAGCAGGAATCTTGACTGCTGTTGGATGAGCGAAGGAGTGGAGCCCTCGCCAGCTGCGTAGAGTTGAGCAAGAACAGAGATTTCATTCTGACCCAACTGTCGCCGGTGTTCCTTGGATCAAAGACAGCAGGCGAAGATTTGCCTCCTGAGAGAAAACCAGATTGAATCCGCCTTTGAAGTCATCTGGACGTAAGATTACCAGCCGGAGCGTTCGAGTCTGACGGCCAGCGACTCAGCCCGCCGGCTGGTCTCGTACCGCCGGCGTAATGGGTGGGCTCCAATACGCTGAGCCCACTGGTGCTGGCGGTAATTACGGCGTACCGTCACGAGGAACCGCCCGGCTAATCCCAGTTGGTGCTAGTGGTCCATCGGTTTTTTTCGCTTTCCCTTTTTGCTCTCTTTCCCTTGTGTCGCTTCGTCGTCTTCCTTGACCTCCTCTCTTCCTCCTCCGCTTCTTCTTCTTCCTCCCTCTTCGCACATCCTCTCCTTCACTCACTCACAACGTCTTCACACACGTCGCTCGGTTCCCTCCGTTCTTCCGGTTATCGCTACCCTCTCTCGACAAACATCCTCGCATCGCCCTCAACGAGCTTTTCACTAAGTCTCGTTCCATCAGTTACGCTTGACCAAAATTCAACTTTGTTCTGCGAGCTCTGCGGTTAATCTCGATCCATAGACTCTTTTTCCACTTTCTTTTCTTTTTTTCTGAGCCCCGGGTTCTTACGACACCTTTGACTCTTCGTTTCTTTGTTGCTTTTTTCCGTTTCTCCTTCATCCTCAAACCCTCCTCTTGAGCCAACGTCGTGCTCCGCGTGCGCCATATACCCTTGAAGAGAAAGTAATCGCATCCGTTCTCCAATGTCTCAGTGCTAGGGGTCTCTTTTCCGTTCTTCAAGGCGTCTGCAGAGCTTCGGCTCGTCGTCGAAGCTCCCAAAGCTTGGGACTTGGAGCGAGGGTGTAGAAGGGGTAAGCCCTGCCCTGGGAAAGTTGCTCGCAATCGGCCCTGCAGCCGTTGACATTCGACAGCACTAAGCCATCTACAACCTCACCCCTAACCCAGCTCTATCTCGTTTGACCATGCCGTCCTTTTACGCTGCAGCCATGAATAATGGCTTCCCGCCAACGCCTCCCCACATTCATATCGATACTCGAATGGAGGTTGACCAGGCGTATTATCCAACCGGCCACCCCGGCCATGCTGCGAGGTACGCCAATGGGTGTGACTTGCCTGACCAATATCCGCCGTCAACGGCTTACGGCAATCGTCCTTCAATGCCGGCACACCAGCATCAGTTACATTCCGCCCGTGTCAACCGGGAAATGAAGCCGTCCAACATGTCGCAGCCGCAGGTTCCGATGTACCCCTCCATGAACACCGGCACCAGTCTCCCGCCTCTAAGATCAAACACGACGCTCCCCCCAATGGACAGCGCGATTCCATCGCAATACAGGCGTCGGGAGCCGACTGCCCAGCAGGAACAGAGGCCCAAGGAACAAAGATCAACTGGTGGTGTTGCAGCACACTTGGATTACGATATGGATCAGATGACAGATTTTGTGGCAGAGATGGCCCAGGGAATGTATGCTTTGTACACGTCCAAGATCAGACTTTCAGATATTGACATTATTCGAAGCGTTTACCCAGGAACAACAGTGCCGCGACAGTTCAGGAAATATGTTTATCAGATTCTTTCGTCAACGCGTCTACCCAGCTCGACCATCCTTTTGGGGCTTTACTACCTCGCTTCGAGGATGCGCATGCTCTCCTCTGGGGAAGTGTACGCATCTGGAACCGGTGAAGTTTACCGCATGCTCACGATTGGTCTACTCCTGGGCAGCAAATTTCTCGATGACAATACCTTTCAAAATCGATCGTGGTCGGAGGTTAGCAATATTCCAGTTTCGGACTTGAATTCAATGGAGCTGGACTGGTTGTTTGCATTCGATTGGAAGATCCATAATCGCATTCACAGTCAGAGCGACGGTTTCATGACATGGAAAGCACACTGGGATACGTGGCGTGCGAAGTCTGACGCTCGGGTTTATGATTCTCGTACTAAATTGGCCCCGATTGATACGAACATCCAGCGCCAACATTCGATCCCAAAGCCCTTACTCTCACCAGAGGGACCCATTCCCCCTCAGTATCAGAGGAGCGGGTGGTTGACTCCGATGAGTTCCGATTATTCACCGCCGTCTGCGCCCCATACTGGTCCTACTACTCCGGACTATTATCAAGTTGCGCCATGGCCATTATTCAACAATCCGGCTCAGTTTTCTCGTCCTTGGGTTCTCCCTCAACAATTTGTCACCTCTCGGTCCCAACCGCAATCCTATCAGCACACTCCATCGTATGCTCAAGCATTCTCTCCAACTGTGTGGACTGGGCATGGAAATGCATGCGGCTGCTTGTACTGTGCCAAAAGCCAGGAGCATTACCTCCCGACAGTCCCCTTTGGCGTTCAGCCAGTGGCTGGATAGGCATCTCTTCTCTGGATCCTTGCTAATTTCAGTTGAAATACACTTTAATGACGCGCTCATTCACATGCGACGATTTAATGCATCACTTACAGCGAAGCGAAACTACTATTATGTGCGTTTTGCGTTTAGGCGTGCCTCAAGAGGACCGAAAAAAAATACGTTTACAAAATGTTTGGTGTGGGACTAAAAGTCTTTTTTTCCACTCATACACCAGCGAGATCTTGGACTCGCTTGGTCCGTATGCGGCTTTCTTAATTCTGTATCTATCCTCGTGAACGGGAGTGTTTCCTTTTCCGAATCGTGTTCTTGCATTTTGTTTCAGTCGTTTTGACCATGTTTACTTATCCCCCCTTGTTCGAAGATGATTTATGATTTAATTGCGTCTGATTCTTTATTCATTTGTTTCTCGTTTCAAGCCGCCTTTTCTTTTCTCTTTGCCTTTCTCTTCTTCTTTTTGAACCAGCAGTTCCCTTGGGCATTTATCTGGAGGCGCATTTTTCCGGCATAGAACTATTTGTCCCGTTATTTTCCCTCGTTTCATTGAGAATAGCTGAAAATTGTTGATTACACACCAAAGACTACCCGGCGTTTATTGTTGCTTTTACCTCGTTTAATTGATGTTTGCTGTTGTCTTGTCAACTTCCGATGGAGGCTTCTTTGTTCAACGGCCGTGATATCCACACTCTACTTGCCTTGTTCCTTTGACAAGGATGTCATCGCATCAGTTGTTGGCTTTATTTTCTATATTTTGCCTGCGGCATACATTCCATTCGTTTTTATCTTGCGTTGCTCTTACCCTTGTTAATATCCTGGGCCATCCTCTACTGAAAAAAATTCTGTCCCGTTTCGGCCAATCTTTCTGCTGTTGATCTTTTTCTATCTTAATCCCCTGCACATTTTCTGATTTGCGTTGACGGCTTTGCAAAATGGTTTGTTTGGTTTGGTTGAGGAAGAGATACCCTCACTTTTTACATTTTTCTGCTATGGTCCATGTTTTCAAGGTGGAAATGTTGATTTCTCTTTGCTATTGGCTGTTTTGTGTGATTTTCTTTTCTTTCTCTACGGAGACTGATTCATCAGGGGTTGAATTATGGCTTGTGGAAGATACCTTGTGGGATTAACATTGTTTGGCTTTCTTCAGTTGAGAAGAGTACTTTTTTCCCTTACGAACAGTGGAGTTTCTTTTTACATATGAAAAAATAGCAGACCGTACAGATTAGTTGTGGACAGACGATGAAAAAATCGATAAGATTGGTGTGGACTGGACAAGCCTCTTTTCTCATTCTTATGTATTCCCAACAAATTTTTTTTATCTCTTCTGGAAAGGATGGAACGAAAATATCCTTGCTGAATGCGCCAGAGTGTACTTTTATTCGCAATACCTTTCTTTTTCGCATTTTTATAGAAGGCTCTATATATCTTGCATATGTTTTTCCAATTATACTGGTAGACTTTTCCCTGACGCCCCAGACATTCAGAATGATTTAGTTTCAATATACGCTTCCTTGAACACTCTGCTCACGCGTCTTTATCTCATCGACTGCTTCTTCCTCTTCCTCGAGCTCATCGGAGCCACTCTTTTCGCGCCCAGGCAACAATGGGGCACATGTATCCGCCTTCCCACAGCCGCCGGCAACAATGTTGATATCAGTATCCTCGTCAGAACACGGGTCAGACGACAAGCGCGACGCCAGGCCATTGTCGTCCGTATCCCCTAGCGAATTCGCCATGGCATGCGGCCGTTTGGCGCCGGGATCGTCCGTCGGCTGTTGGCGCTGGCGCTGGCCGCTGGAGAAGGTGTGGATGCTGGGCGGTCGGGGCGTTTTGCCGTGGATGTCTTCCTGGTTGTCGTTGTTGTTGTCGTCGTCGTGGTGGGGGCCTGGGAGGTTGCGTGCGTTGATGATGGGTGTTAGGTCCTCGTCGTCGGCGCGGTTGGAGGTGAAGGAGGCGCGGCTGGTGGCGCCGCTGCGGGAGCCGCCTGCGTCTCTGCCGCCGCCTAGTTGGAGGATGGCGAGGCCGCGGGTGAGTTCGCTTTCTAGGGTGGCAGTGGTGGTGGCGGTGGTTGTGGTGGTGTTGAAGTCTAGGGGGGCGAGGGGGAGGGGGGTGGTGGTGAAGGGGGTTGATTTTGGGGCGTTTTGTTCTGTCTGCGTTTGGCTGTTGACAGCGTCACTGGAGGGCTCCTCAGCTTCTGATTTGGAGACTTGGTTCTGGATGATGGGGAGTCTTGCTCGATATGGCTTGTAGCCGTGGTTGCAGCCATCAGGGCACCCTCCCCATTTCCGTCTTATGGGAATCACGGAGCCCACAGCCGCTGGGTTGGTTGAGCTGACGTCCGTCCCAAAGGCAGCTTCTCGGGCAGCTTTTGCTTTTTGCTTTTCGAGATCCCGCTGCATCTTGAGTTCGGACCAGGTGCGCAGGTGGTTCTGTAGGATGTATTTCCCATTATCTGCATCCTTTTTCATCACGACAAACTCGCAGTGGTTGATATTCCGCAAGTCCTCAAAATATTCCACGCTGAAATGGTACCATTTCATAAGAAACACACGAGTCATCAAGCCGTGCGTGACCAGCACACACACGCTGGCAAAATCGTCTTCGCTGAAGAGTCTCCAGAGCGACTCGTTGAACCCGCTCACGCGGTCATACGCATCCGCCGCCGACTCGCCGTTGGGGATCCGGTAGAAGAAATGCCCATAGTCAGCGCGCTCCTGCCACATCCTCTCCATCGCCGCTGAGCATGGCTGGAAATTGCCGAAGTCCTGCTCCCGCAGCCGCGGCTCTTCGTATACCTTGATGGTATTCCGTGGGAACGGCGACGGTGACGGGTCGTCTGAGGTCAGGGAGGAGAGGATGCCTTCAGTGGTCTCGCGCGTCCGCCGGTAGGGAGACGTGAAGAAATGGAGAGTGTCGTCCGGCCGGAGCATGGCCCGCAGGCGCCGGCCGGCTTCCTGGGCTTGTCGATGGCCCTCTGGTGTGAGCTTGACCCGGTGGTCGGGGACGGTTTGGTGAATCTCGCGGTTCTTGTTTCCTTCGGATTGGGCATGGCGGATGAGGATGATGAGCTGTGTGCTATGGTGTTAGCGGAAGTGATAGTCTGGGCTGCAGGTGGCACGAACTCGAGGCTTGCCCATATTTAACCAGATGCTGAGGAGATCGTCTGCTACCCTGGTGGTTCCTAACACTTGATCTCTGGTTCAATTCTATACTTGATATTGAAGAGATGTACTCCATAAATAAGTAATATTTTTAAAGAAATTCCCTAGCTGTGGCGGGTTCTTGACCGACAGTTGAATCTCCATCCCGAGCGCCTTGGCCGTGGCCTCGTCCTGCTTGCTTCACGGGCTAATTAGCGAGTGATCGCGGCTGGTCGCAACGCTATTCTGATACCAGCATCCGCAATCCAAACGGCGATCAACACGTTCGCAGCGGCCACAGAACAGCACCGGCAGCTGGGCCAATGTGCGGTCGAACACTCCAATGCAGTGAGCCCAATCCATCATGACCGATCCCTTATACGAGCTGCTCGTCCCCTACTTTGACCGCGACAATGCCTCGCAGCGCCCTCGCCCTCCGGCCGCCGATGCCACAACCGCCAAGTATCTCGGTCGCTTATCGACACTCTCCCTCTCGTCCTTGAACTCCACAGAGCTACAGTCCCTTTCGCAGTCCTCACATTCGAGCCTCGTCTCGCTCCAGGCGCTCGCCAATCGCTCACACAAGGCGTTCATTGCTTCCGCCGATAGCCTCTCCTCCCTCCAAACTTCCATACCCAAACTTGCAGGCGAGACCGCAGCGTTACGAGATGCCATACCGAAACTCGACGAGGAGGCCGTTTCCTTCTCGTCACGGTATAGCAAAAGCACCGAGAACCAGATCCTGGATAGGAGGAGGAAAGCGATGCAACTAGCCCGGAATGTGGATCGGTTGTTAGACATCTTAGAGCTACCAGCACTCTTAGCGACGGCAGTTTCCTCGTCATCTGTCAATGCTGGTGTGGTAGCGAGTGCGGCAGCGAGCACTAATTACTCGTCCGCATTGGATTTGTTCGCGCATATCAAACGGCTTCAGACCCTCTATCCCGATTCTCCGCTGGTGAAAGACGTTGTTTGTCAAGCGGAGGATTCGATGAGAGACATGGCGAGCAATCTAATCGCCAGCCTCAGAGTGCAGAATATTCGACTAGCTGCCGCGATGAGGACTGTGGGATGGCTGCGCCGTGTGGCGCCGGAACTTGAGCTGCCCGCCAGAGAAGGGCTTGGTTCTACGAATAGTGAAGGGGCATTTGGCGCGCTGTTTCTAGTTTGCCGGCTGGCCAACTTGCTAAAGATGCTTGATGCCTTGGAACCATTGCGCGAACTTGCAGATCAAGAAAAAGCTAAGCGTCTACAGCAGAATGCAAAATCTAGTGATGCGGCAAGTGGTACAAAGGACCTGTGGTCAGGAGGCCAGCAAACAGAGCGGTTCCTGAAAAGGTATATTGAGATCTTCAGAGAACAGAGCTTTGCCATCGTGTCCATGTACAAGAATATCTTTGCGCCCGCTCCCACGGAGGCCGATTTGGCAGCCGCTTCTATCCCTGGGTTGGATCTCCAGAACCTGAATCTCGACGGAAAGGGATCGAATCAGAAGTCATCAGGCGGAGTCGATGACCAATTGCACCGACTGCCGCCGGCGCTAGCAACATTTCCAATGCACCTTGCACAGCTGTTGCTCGATACCCTGAAAGAGTATCTTCCTAACGTGAGGGACAAAGGATCGCGGGAGAGCCTACTTACTCAAGTACTATACTGTGCTGCAAGTCTAGGGCGGCTAGGGGGTGATTTCAGCATGCTTTTGTCAGCTTTGGGCGAGGAGGGCGAAGATGAAGATCAAGACACGGTCCCCGAGTGGGAGAGAATGATGAAGAACCACCGGATGCTGGCTGAACGGTTGGATTCTCTCACTGCAGGTAGAGCTGAAGGGGACGGCAAGCGTATCCAACGTCAGGCTACACCCGCACAAGACTGATATATGATTTCCTGTTGCAACATGATGTTAACCCCTTTTGCGTGTAAAAGCTAGTCGTTGTTATAGACCAACACAGCGTCAAATGCCTATACTGTGCTTCATCACACGCCTTGCCTGATCCGGTTTAGTCTCTCCTCGGGACAAGACCCGCCGCTATTCCCAATCTGTACTAGCGTGATGGAAACTGCCATGGAGCCCCCCCGCCGGGCGCTTTGATTGGCTGGCTCCGCGGCTTCCGCCTTCTTGGCGTGTTTTCCCCTCGTGAATGGCTTCTTTCATCATCATCGGGATATCTCCATCACTCACTCTCAACACTGTCTGATTCGCAGTTGGATATCTCTTGACTCTGGCAGTTTTACGAGAAGGCCATCTGTTTGCTTGCTTCTGTTTATCACATAGCCTTGCTTTATCTCTAGCCGTTGTCTGATCTACAAGGTCTCTCCACACGATCTGTTGTGTCCGGGGTGATGGCTTGACGCCATTCAACGGTTATTCTTTGAAGATCGTTCTTCCCGCACAGTCTCTCGACAACATTCAAATGGCTGCTCTCTCCGGCCCATCAACTCCAAGCCTTTCTGGCGGGCTGATCGACCCAACAAAACAAGCAGAATATCCTATCCTCCTCGGCTCCAGGTTGGCTGGAAAGGAGCGCTCAAGGGCAGGTCGGTTTATCAACGTTGCATACAACTACAAAACCAAAGGCACCTCGCCACACCAAAAATCCACGATTGCCGCTGGCGATGCATCGGACCTCTACAAGCTTACCATCCAGGACAAGGCCGGCAATTCGGAACAGACAAATCTAACGTACATCTATCATGGCAGTATTGATCCCGCATCTTCAGTATCCGAGTCGGAAACAAGCAACCTGGTGTTAGTCTTTGATCCGAAACGAAAAGCCTTCATTCTCGAACCGGTTTCGACGAAGTTGAATTTTAACCTCCGTTCTGCGCCGGGCAAGACGGAGAAGCAAGTGTTGGAACAATACCAGCAACTCAGTATTCTATCGGAAAACGAAGGCACTTCGGGAGATGGAGCGGATGGAGACAAGGATGATGATGATGATGCTTCGGGGACAGCAGACGAAGACAATCCATATGACTATAGGCACTTCTTGCCAAAGAAGTCGACAGAGACGGAAAGAAAAACCGAACGAGAATCGACCCGGAGCACACCTGATGCCCATAGCCTTGCTGATAAAACCCTCGCGCCCAACTCGACAACCTCGCCTCCAAAACCAAAACCGAAGCCTCTATCGAGGAATAAACCTCAAACCAATCCGCTACGGCCCCAAACGAAACGAGTTACCAAACCTGCCGCCGCGAAAGTTGGGAATCACCCCAAGACTAAACCAAAATCAGCGCCTCGCGTTGACCCAGAAGACCTCGTCGAGGAATTGTCGGCCCCGGAAGCGGAGCCCAAACCCGAGCCGGTAGCTCCGACTGCAGCGTCTAGTAACAACATAATAGTTGATGGCAATCTTATTATTGACCTAGGTTCCCCTCCGCCTGAACGACCTAAATTCAAACTCAACCCTCGGGATTTTGCATCAGGTAATACCTCCGCGAACGAGGGGGCTGTCGGTAGTGACCACAACGAAGATGAAGATATTCGATCGCCTTCTCCGCCAAGGTTAGCTGGTAGCCGCGCATGGCAAACGCCTGCACAGCAGGAACCGGAAGAGGAAGAAGAGGAGGAGGAGGAGGAGGAGGAGGAGGACGAAGAGGAGGAAGTGAGTGACGAAGCTGAAATTGAAGCCGAGCAGGAACCTGATGACGATATGGCGGAAGATGATGGATTTGCCGCTGAGATGGAGGCAGCATTCAATCAAAGTGTAAGAGAGGAGGAAGAACAGAGGGCTAGGGATTTGCTACTAGAGCAACAGCAGCAACGACATATTGTGAGCGATGAAGAGAGCGAGGTCAGTGAAGAGGAGTGAGCATAGCGAATATGATATTGTGAGAAATCCGCTCTGGGCTTTTACAGCTTGAATTTCGACAGGAAGTTTGTGTTTTGACTATTGAGCGGGCTCTTGGGAGTTTGGTTGACGGGGGTTCCACGGAGCATGTCGACGATTTATGTCAAATAATACCCCGCTGGTGCAATTAAATCGCGGTTTGCATGTATGGCAGCACTGAACAATTAGCGACCATGGAAAACTGCAATTTACTTCTAGATAGATAAACAGCCTCGAGCTGCACAACTAATAGCGATTCTGATAGCCGTGAGCCGCAGGACGATTACCTAATCCGTCTCTTCCTGGACGGGCTTGGCGCACTGTCTTCCTCTTCTCTCTAAGACTTCGTCGCCTCAGGTTCTCAGCTCTACCGTCTCCTCGGTCGCTTTGACGTGATTTATTGATACTGTCTTGCACTCTCTGTGCCGGTGCTGCTTAATCTTCACCGTCCGGCGCCACCGATAGCGCACCCCGATGGCGTCCGGAGCCGCATGTCCGCTTATATTTCCGTATTAATGACATCAGGGAGTTCTTGAATGTGTTATCGGCAAGGGCAGAATATGCAATTCTCAAGGGCTTTTACATTTGGTACTTGGATCGCATGAGCTCTATCTTCCCTTGTGTTCCTCTGCTCCACCTACTACCGGCAGAAGACGTACCGTTTCCGCATCATTCACACCGGAATAGTTCGTGCTTTTCCTGTTCCGCAACCATCTACAAGCCGAAATGCCTTCGATTTCTTCAAATACGCAGTCTTCGGCCCCTCCGGTCCCTTCTCCTTCCAATCCCGTCCTTCTAGCCACACAATCACAATGGCTTTTTACCGATACGGAGCTCCTTCGAACACCCTCGATCCTAGACGGCATGGCCATCGAAGCGGAGCATACGAGTCGAGGCAAGGGCGTCAATTTTATCATGCAAGTGGGCATCCTGCTTAAACTCCCGCAGCTCACGCTTTGCACGGCTAGCGTGTACCTTCATCGGTTCTTTATGCGATATAGTATGGTGGATCTCCCGCAGAGGCCCGGAATGCACCCTTATTCGGTCGCTGCTACGGCGCTTTTCCTGGCAACAAAAGTGGAGGAGAACTGTCGCAAGATGAGGGAACTGATAATCGCTTGCTGCCGGGTGGCGCTCAAGCAACCAAATCTCGTGGTGGACGAGCAATCAAAAGAATTTTGGAAGTGGAGAGACACCATTCTACACAACGAAGACCTGCTTTTGGAGGCGTTATGCTTCGATCTTCAACTGGAACAGCCCTATCGACTGCTTTATGACTTTCTTTGCTTCTTTCAACACCAGGATCATAAGCCATTACGGAACTCGGCCTGGGCCTTTATTAATGATTCGATTTATACAGTCTTGTGCCTACAATTTCCCGCTCGAACAATAGCTGCGAGTGCATTGTATGCGGCAGCCAGGCACTGCAATATCTCGTTCAACGATGATGAGCTTGGGCGTCCTTGGTGGGAGCAATTGGACGTTAATTTGAGAGATCTAAGGCGAGCGTGTAATAAAATGGCGGAGTTATACGAAAGATCTCCCGTACCGAAGCCGGGGCAAAAATATCCCTCTATTCCTAGCAGCGAGGGAGACGCAGCTGACAAAACTAGACATGTTATACCTATGCTAAACAAGGGTGGTGAAGAAGGCAACAGTTCGGAAGAACAAAATGGCTCCTTGTCTCCCGGGGAGATCAGTGAGCGGAAAAGGAGTCGAGAACCCGATGACCTAGCCGCTTCCGTCAAACCAAATAGTCGTATATCCGCCAACGGCGCACAGGATCACGGGGGCGGCCAACGCTCTCCAAAACGCCAGAAGCGCGATGACAGCGAAACTTCTGCAGCGAATTCCAAAAGCCCATCCTCCCAACCACAACTACAGTCAAATATTCGCCCTCAAACTTCACTCGCCGCTGTGACATCCACATCTGATATCCGGTCGAACAGCAACTCCATCTCCCCCGAAACCATCACCCCAACATCTACCGCCAACCCATCTCAAACCGAAAACGCGCGTCCAAACGGACACTCGAATCCCGAACACCACAAAACACGTTCAAAATCCCCCCTTGCAGCGACCAGAACGAACGATAAACCACCCTCTTCGCGCATCCCAGCCAGCTATCAGCGTAGGGCAGAGCTGCCCCCTCGCCCACCTGTTGGTCTTCCTCCGAAGCCGCCGGTAGGCTAGGAAAAACCCGTTTTAGGGTGGCTATTGAGTGGAGTTTTCGATAATGATCTATTCTTTGGGATTAAGGTGGAAAGCTGGTGAGGATTTTAAGGGATATTTTAATTCGCATATTCGGCGTCTTTTTATTATGATTGTGCTAAACTGACCGTATGCAACGCGCAAGGCTGGTGTTTGTGCGATGCAGCGCTTCTTTTTCAAGAGGATGGTTCAAGTTCAAAGGGAAACATTCGACAATGAATATCACCGTCTCTATATGTACTGTACATAGCTAAAATGTTCAACGGGGGTTGATTTATTGAATAAAGACGTATGTCCTTCGCCGGCGCATTCAGCCAGCCGCATATGATCAACAAAGTCGGGGGACAAATTTTGGTGCAATGATAGTTCCCTTTGATTTCCTATCGTAACAGAAACACGGCCTTATTATAGAGCAAATTTTTTGATAAGACGGGCGGGGTAAAAGATTCAAATATGTCCAACCCAAACACCAAGGCAAATATCCGTATAGTAGTACACCTAGATACATCGAGAAAGGAGGGTTAAACCAGAACTCAAGATGCTGCGAGTCAATATGAATCGGTGATTCGATCGACAAAGCACAGGGAGAGGAGATGAGGTGTCAAGCTTGAAAACTCCGCTTCAAAAAGATGGATTAAAAGAGGTAAAGGAGGATAAAAGGGAGTAGCGAGAAGGGTCACGTATGGGAAGAGGAGACATTCTGACAGAACAAAGAAAGTAACATGGAGCTGCGCCTCCCAACGCCACGACCGTTGTATAATATAGTACATGCCTCCAAGAGAAACAAAAAAACGCTCAATAAAAGGCTACCAATACATCGTGAAATAATGGTAAGAATTAAAAGGTCGTTAGAGGTTCGTGGAAGAAAATAGCTGAGGAAAGTATAAACATGTTCGCGAGAGTAGTAGGTGTGGTTTAAATGTCCGCAAATATAGCGTCCAGTTCGTGAATTTCGACGGCTTCAGGACTTTGGAGATCAAGCCATGAATCTAAAGCTGAATCGAGGTGAAGGCCGAATCCCGTATCAATCATGTCAAGCGACCGCTTGCACCCGGACACGCCCCCCATTTTACTGGGAGTTGAGTCGAAAGGAGCGATAGGCTTAGTAGCAGAACAATCGTCGATCTCAGCTTCAGAAGTCGTGCTTGAAGCTGATGACAACGACAATTCTGACGAGGCTGACGGAGACGGTGATGTACCAAAGACTTCTACATCCGCGGCATCAACACCGTCTTCGGTCAGGTAGGCGTATTCCTGAGCTTGGGATTGCGCTTCGTGGGCAGCGAAGCAATCGTCCATGTTGACGTGGTCTCGTGGCGCCTCCCCTTCAACTCTACTCCCTTCAGGCACAGGGTTATCATTCTGTTTTGCCACCAAGTCTTCGGCCGAGGTCCTCTCTCGAACTGAACTTGCGGTCAAGGTGAACTCCTTTTCATCACCTTCTAATGGCGGTGAGACTGTACGGCTGCCATGCGACAAGCGAAAACTGTCGGGCATTCGAGTGCGCACAGAATAACTTCCCGCAGGTGTAGGTGGTCTACCAGGGGTGGAGTGCTCTACCAGCGACCCAGCCTCTTCATGTTCAAACGCCGGACTTGACAGATCAACTTCGGGGCTTGGGCTCATACGGCCTCTTTCAAGCGCATCATCTGCATCATCTTCACCATCAAGGTCGACGCTGGCATTTGATAAGCTTGGTGTAATTTGCTTTATGGTCGCAGGAGGCGAAATGATATCACTCGAGTCCTCCGGTAGAGGCTGGGCGGGCGAATTCGTAAGGTAGAAGAAGACCTTTCGCGGATGGACCGGTATTTGCTCCTTAGCAATTGGGCAAGGGGCCAGGGCGCTCCAAACGCGCTTTAGATACAAACTAAGCCGTGACGAGATCAAAGCGGCCGCATTCGCCGAGCTGAATCGTAGTTAGCAAAGGTGAAATAGGCAACAAGATTAAAACAACTTACGTTGCGATTGTCGTATTCGTAGTTGATAGAACGGTCGCAAGCTCCTTGATCAGGTGAGGTCTATTGCCCGTCTTTTCAAGTTGTTCAATCACCGAGACAATAATGTCATCATTGATGCCCTCGGTATCGATCTTTGCGCCGACTCCGGCATCTGCCGGGGACGGTGGTGGCGTGTGGCCGTAGGGACCAGCAACTCTTCCATTCCTCCCTTCAGATATTGTTGAAAGAGGTTTTGATTCTGAGTCGTGTGATCTCTTGACCTTTTTGGAGGGCGGTTGGTTTTCGGTTGTGGCTGGAGATTTCGAGGTAGACGGCGAACGATGTGAGCGCGACGCATTAGGGAGGTGTATGCCCAGGGAAGGCAAAGAGAGCGACTTCCGGCGTGTGTTATAAGGCATGTTGAAGCAGTACTTTTGAATGGATAACTAGACGTAATAGCAGAATACAAAAGGAGGGAAATGTTGGATTTTGTTATGTTTGAGAGCGGATGCTTGGGGAACTTAAGGGGGGAGGATGAACCAAAGATGAAAAAAATCAAGGACAAAGAAAGACGATCAAGAAAAAAAGTTGTCTGGGAAGGATCGGTGCTTTGGCTTGCTGTGGGTTTCACTCAGGAGATTATGGACCGTTTCATATTGGTCTGATTGGGTATTTTTGGACGAGTGTGGATCGGGGTGCATTCATGGGAAGAAGTCGAAGCGCACTAGAAAAAGCAGCTCTCCACTTTGCAGAAACGACGAACGTAACAAGGGATTTCAGGTTTAGCCTTGTTGGTGCTCTGGTTGAGACCAGAGTGGTGGCGGTCGATTATGCTGGAACCTTGTCCGTCCCAATCACATTGCATGGTGCATGCTCTGACGGGGCTCAGAGCATCAAGGTTTGAGTGATCCGTGTGCAAATGTCACACCGTTTACCGACGGCGGCAAGGGCAGCTGCAAGGTTGCGAGCACGCTTCTTCAAGCCTGTCGGGATTCTGATAAGAGTGATAAAATAGCAAGCCCTCATCGGAGACTCAAGAAGCCTCTCCAGCACCTTTGAGAAATGATGCGCTGGGGAGATGGGCGGCCAGATGGGGATGCGCTCCGGCGGAAGAAACTTAAGCCAGCCACCACAAAGTCTCTCGAGAATTAGCGGGCTTCTCGGAGACGCGTAGAGGCAAAAAGCGCATCCACGAAGCCTCGGGTTGACGGAGCAACCACCGCGCAGAGGCGGTCTTGGATCGTGCAACTTTCGGTTTCCCAATTATGCTTCTTTTTCATTGAGGTGTGGATCGTTGCACTTTGGACTGTGCATATGCGCTCACAATTACGGAGTCAACCCTCTCCATCCAGGTCAGAGACAAGCAGGCAGAAACAATCGATACGTACACCGCCATCCAAGGCTAGGTCCCTCACATCCTTGCTAGAGCAAAGTTAGAAGAGCTGCTGAGTGCAGGTTCATCGAGCTGTGACCAACCACCACTGAAGCAACAGCCAACGGCTCATAAAATGGTGTCAAGGGTCTGCATAACGCTTGGCCAATGCGAGATCATCCTTGTCGAGCACGCACTTCCCCAGGACGGAGAACAAAATTCCCAGATACCGCCTGTCGACTCAGGATGCGGTGTGTGAAGCAAACTAGCTGAGGAGTGCAGTTGTGGTGTCGCGTATTGGAATTATGGTCATGGATCACGCTTCCTCTGCTCATGATTTGGAGTTCTTCCTTGTCAAGCCAGTATCTGTGTGGGCCTTGAAGCAAAGTTTTGCGAGGAATCCAATATCATCGGGAGATTGCAGCGTTCCCCGAGAAAAAGAAATTTTTGCGATTGGACAACACCTGGGGACCGCGAATCAAATCCCAGTGATTATACGGGCGATTTTTCCACACCATCCACATCCTAGCAGTATTTTTTTTTTCACACAATAGGCTTCATGCTCCCCTGGACATCTTTCATCAAAAATTTTCCAGACAGTGTGTCGCGGAAGCATCCATCGACCTTCAAAGCGACAGGATGACTGGGTGTGGCCCCTGGGCGGGTAGCAATTATTGATATCTTTCCATGCTACGCAGGACCAGCTCCCTGCTCGTTGGTGAGTTGATACTCAGCCAGTCGGTCAGATGAAGCTATCTCCTTGTTTTGAGTTTCGGCGAAAGGTTCTCGATTCTTACAACCGAATCGAGAATCGAAGAGGGATTTCGACTCTTGAGGCATGATCATGAGAAATAGATGTGACAGATAGAAATGCCAGCAGATCCCCGAAGTTTCAAGCGAGGCTCGAGCTTCAAATTGCTAGCCGATAACGGAGATGTCGACGAAAAAGAAACGAGGATGAAAGCTTGAGAACTTGAGAGAAAGCAGTTTTGATTCTCACAGGCGTAAGAGTTGTTGTTGACGTTGATGCGAGGAGTGGATGGAGGGACGTTGGATTTGGGTGTGTCCCGATTCGGAAAACATGTCACCGTGCAATTCCAAGTACCAGGTACCGTGCAATTGCATATAGATATCTAGCAGATTGAGGTATCTCTACACCAGGTCTATACAAATGCACATCATGATTCATCAGATTGTGATGTGCAGTTGTATCATCAAGTTCAGATTAATCCTAGCAAGTCAAAGGCGCCAGACAACAAGTCATCTGGATATGCCAGAGCGACTGATGAGCCTCGACCAACTTTTCCCCGGATTTTCATGATGCCTGTGGAGCTGGAGACTGCCGTCACAGAGATCCATTGTCACTCGTGGATCCAACATGTCATGATGCAGCACACGCGCATCAACCCTGTCCCACATACGTACTCGATTTTCTTGAAGTAGTCAGTCTTCGTGCTGTGTTCCACAATGAAATAATTCATGCAAAACAGTATTGAAGGAAGTGGTCATCTGTTTGTGGTGAAGGCGAGAGATCTGCTGATCTGACTGCGAGTGCCATCAAACTCGGACATCAAGAAATGCTCTTTAGTGGTTGACGGCAAGAAAGGGTTTGCTAGGGCGCATTGCAGCTGGGAGTGTCCGTAACCCATATCAAACCAACACACTCGAGGGTTGCGACAGACAAGTACATACGGAGCATTTCGGCTTCCCTTTAACAATGACGGGCCGCAGCTCGTCCGGAGACAAAGAAGACTCTCAAAGCAAACCCATGTTCCAACGATACACATAAATTCGGAAAAATATGTTGGTATCCAAACCCGAGAACAAAAAAACTGCAAAGCGCCAATATTATGCTCAGCCATCCTCAAAGCCGTGATATGCAGGTATCGTACAACGCAAATCTCAATCCAACCACTGCAATATTTGCTTCCGGATCTAAGCAAGCAAACTGCTTCCACCTGCAGCTTTCTCGCTATCTAGGCTGCTTATCTCCATCTTTTCGTTTGCACGGTCGGTTCCTTGCCTTGGGCGTAAAACATATTTCCACGTCGTTCCCAAATGCCATCGTTTCGATTCCACAATCTCAAGGCCGCTTTGTTCAACGATCTTTCCGATATCCCTATTCCACCAGCATCCATGTTGGTTGGCGTGGGCCGGTGCAAGATCGTCTAGTAGCTTATTCACCCAACCATAGTATGACCGACCGTGCTCGAGGAGTAGGATCTGCCCCCTTTCCGGCTCTGTGATTTCCCCGAGGTGCTTTAAAAACGCAACAGGGTCAGGATATCGAACAAGCTCCATGGTCTGGAATCACTGTAT